GAGATCTCTCTCTCTCTCTCTCTCACACACACACACACACACACACACACACACACACACACCACCTCATGGAGGCGACACCAGCCATGCTCTCCACAGCAGCCTGAAGATCTGAGGCATGCAGATCTATGCCCTTTGGGCACCTGCCTCCTGCCACAGTCAGCCACTGTGTGATCGCAGCCTCTTGTGCGCTCATGGCTGGGCTTTGTGATTAAAAAAAATAAGACTTCCCTAAAATAAGCCCAAGTGCTTACTTTGGGGCGCAAAAGAAAATAAGATTGGGTCTTATTTCTGGGGAAACACAATATTACACACAGGACTGTCAGTGGTGGGTTTCAAAAATTTTTATTACCGTTCTGTGGGTGTGGTTTGGTGGGCGTGGCAGAAGAAGGATACTGTAAAATCTCCAGTCAGAGATGGTATTTGCCGGTTGTCCAAACTACTCAACATTTCCACTACTGGTTCTCCAGAACTGGTCAGAACCCACTGAATACCACCTCTGGGACTGACCCAATTAACACAATCTATCATAACCAAAACTTCAGAATCCACATTATTGAACAACTCAGGTGAAAGCACCATAATGAAGCCGTTCAGAGTAAAATAAAAAATACAGTGTGTTTCTTGAATACTATATCACAATATGGTATAATTTATAACAATAGGGGTAGCACGAATGCTATATTGAATCAGTGAAATGTAGTATTTTCTGGATATTTATAAAGCCAATATTTGCTGTACTAATCTGGTTCCACTTCCAGATTATAGATAAGTAATAATAGATAAATAAGGGGATGCAATTAACAATTAAGTTTATTCATTTATATTCTGCTGTTTCTTTACATTCAGTTGATAATCTGCAGGAAATCTGTAATCTATGTCATAAAAATATCAAGATATCATTTATTACAAATAATGTAAAATTATATGTTACTGCTAAACAGATTGCAGATAAAATGCAGATGTTAATCTCCAAGGGCTTGTTGGAACAGCAAAAATTTAACAATCTTATGAGGATGACTGAATTACTTGGGCTCAAAAATTTTATTAGTTTATCAGAATATAAAATACAAAGGAAAATAAAAATAATGAAAAACTAGGGAGGGCAGAGTGGGGAGAAATAAATGAAAAAAGGATGTTGACATCTGATTAGCACAGTAGAAGATAAATAACATTACGACTTCAACTTTTTACTTTTATACAATAATATATGCTAGCCATTTCTGTAACAACAAACATAGTTAGTTAATCAACAAAACAAAAGGTGTATCTTTCTATTGCAAGCACAAAATTCAGAAGTGGTTTCCAAATAAAAACAAAATTAAATATATTCTTTTCTTTGAATAAAAGAATCAATTTAACCATCTCTACTTTGTTTTCTTTGCTGTGGAAAATATTATATTTCTATTTGTACATATTAATCTTTATAGACTATCATCATTTATATTAGCAAAATTCATTGTAACATTTTGGATTATTTGCATTAAATTTTTCTTTCAATTACATATATTACTGGTAAAAATCCATCCTAACTCAAATTAACTAATTAAATTTAAGTTGTTCCTTCCGGCTTATCTTCATAAAATAAAATCTTTTCTTTTCTGGAATGTCAATCAAGTTATTATCTTTTTATACTTATCTTTTTCTCAAGAAATTCTCAAGCTTGTTAGTATCCACGAAGAAAACGTCCCTAATTCATCCTCTTGAAAGGTTCAGATATTCTTGGAACTTTTTTTCAATTGTGCTGGAAAGTTTATATTTAAAACATCACCATCACCACCACCATCATCATCATCAAGATTGGGGTCAGATTTATATTCCAGAGTTGCAGTTGAGTCCTTTGCATTTTCAGCTACTTGTGAATTGCCTCAATCTTGTTTGATAACTTTCTACATATAATTGCATCTCTGAAGTAGTTTGAGTAGTTTTTATAACATCCTTAGAACATAATTGATCTATAAAATGAAGAGTTTTATTTAAGAATTTTTCAAACAATATCTAACAATTTGCTCAAATCCATGTTCCCTCTTGTGGCCAAAGAATAAATTTTTTGTAACTCATTTAAGAATTGCTGGCCAGAGTTCATGAACATTGGAAAGTTTTAGATACCCAGAACAAAGCAAACCAAGTTATAATTTACTTAAAAATACTAAAATAAAACCACAACTTTCTACTCTTTTGTTTCTCCATCAAAGTTAAAACAAAGATATTCCATGCTTCCTTATTTTAGCTTGCCGTTAGCAACTCTCTTTCTTATTGTTTAGCAATAAAGAAGTCTCCAAAATGGAGTAGATCTTCAAAAAGGAAAGGCGTAACAGGCTGTGGCTGAAGAGAGCCTGTTTTAAGTCAATAAAGATAATAATACCTAAAAATGATTAAGAAATGGAAGACATGGTTTATTGTCTGTTTGAAAAATAACTTTCAAAATGGCTGCTTTTTTCAACAATAAAATAATTTCAACTGTAATAATTTCAACAATCAACTGTCAGTGATGATGTTACCTAATCTATCTTCTTCTGTCTATTTTCTTCTATTCCTATTTCTATACCTATCTACCTACCTACCTACCTACCAATTTATGTGTTTGTGTATGTTCTAGCATAACTCTGAAAAGCCTCGAGCAATTTCAACCAAACTTGGTACACAGATGACTTACCCTTTGGAAACAAATACTATGGCAGTAAGACACCCCTAACATCCCTCAGGGTGTGTGTGTGCGCCTTAAAATGGCTTCTACTGTACAGCACAGTGAACTTGTCATGGTAACGGTTGCACAGTACTCCATAAGGGGACTCCCTCTTGTGGAGGAATAGAAGAATTTTGACGCTGCGCAAGAGACAGTACAAAAGGGAGAGTCCTGACTACAGGATCTTTCTGTTTAATACAGGATTGGGATAAATAAATACCCGGGTAAGAGCAGGTTAACAGCTAGTTTGATAATAAAACATCTGCAAGAAATCAACCCATTTCGGAGAGCACTGAAGACCCCACAATTTTGTTAATTACAAATGCAACTGTAACAGAGTTGTGCATTTGCAATGACACAAAGGCATAATGAAATTATCACTCAAAAGGACCTTGTTTATATTGTTGGATGTGGACTATATTTTGCAATGACGATGTTTATGGGTGCAAAATAGCTTAATAGAGCAATACAACTTTATCTTGATGTTATGTGGATATTTCATGCTTACTGACTAATAGGAAATAAAATTTAGAATCAGCAACTAAAACTAATTTCAATCTTAAACTGTAGGTGAACCAACCAAGTCTGGAGAGAGAAGTGGATACAGCAGTCCTGGATCTCCAGGAACCCCTGGTAGTCGCTCTCGCACACCATCCTTGCCAACTCCACCAAACAGGGAGCCCAAGAAGGTTGCAGTGGTTCGTACACCACCTAAATCCCCTTCTTCTGCCAAGAGCCGCCTGCAGACAGCTCCGGTCCCCATGCCAGACCTGAAGAATATCAAGTCCAAAATTGGTTCCACTGACAACTTAAAGCATCAACCTGGAGGTGGAAAGGTAAATCTAATGTGTGTGTGTCTGTGTGTGGTAGGGGGTGTGTGGTTTAGTAGGGGGGGTAGTTTTCTCTCTTTGCCATTCCAGCATTGCATTCCCTGCCTGTAAAACTCTCAGCTTTATGAGCTACCTTCACCTGGCAGAATATGTGAGATTATTGATTAGGCAATATTGACATTACTGAAATGATATGTGTTCATTACAATTAAACATGCTAAGAATTCCTTCCAAATTAGAAAATAAATGGGAACTGAATATGTACAAGGTAGTGAAGTTCTGATTAGAAAGCAGTTCTTTAAAGCTACGTATGGAAGCACTAATCCACAGCAGTAACAAGACAGCACTATATGCATCTCATGTGAAGATCCCGCTTCTCTCAAAATTATACTGAAGTAATTCAGTCTCAATTTGACTCTTTTGGCTGAGGTTGTTGAGAATTAAAATTCAGCAGGATCTTGAATGGAACAGACTTCTCATCTTGGCCATACAGTAAAAGAGGTGTGTTCTACTAAAGAAACCTGCTAAGAGAGTACTTTTTGTATACGAAGATATTAATATCTTAATATTAATAATATCTTAATAATATCTTAATATTGCTAGAATATTAAGAACAAATAGTACTTGATTTAAGGTATATTATATTCCTGCCCTCTGAATCATTCTCAGACTCTAGTGTTACATTTTGATGATGTTGCTAGCAGGAACAGTTAAACTTAATTCTTAATTAAAGAATTCTTAATTAAATTCTTTAATTAAAACTTAATTAAAAGAATTCTTAATTCTTTTTTTTAATTCTAACAATCAGGCTCATTAATATCTAATTTGAGATGTTCATCATCATGCCATTATGTTAAAAGTAAGTGCTGTTTTTTTTTTTAAAAAACCAGGCAATCAAGGCAAGGCAACAAATTATTTAGGATTTAAAGGTAGCAAAATTCCCTTTTTAATGATTTGTTGTTGTTAACATTAGTCTGTGGGAGTTAGTAATTACTGTCCAAGTTTTCTAAGCTACTTTACTGACCAGAGTTTCAAATGCCAGCATTTTTAATGACTAGAGGGCAGTACATTAAATATAAATAGCTCCATTCATAGGCTGATAGGATAGGCTGCTGTTTTGGTGCCTCTAGTGGTGTTTTCAATCATCTTATGTTCAGTTGCTGCTGCTCCCTGGATTTTTATTAAGTGTAGACAATTTTAGTGCTTCATTCTTAATGGATACATCGTGCCTATCTATTTTCAAGAGCATGTCAACAACTCTCATGCATTTCCCATTTATTTCCATCAGGTGGAGAAACAATCATGCATTTAGTGGGGTTTCAGATTTTGGAACATCTGCAAGTATTTACTCATGCAGCGTTTATCTACACTTAAACAGCTTTCTTAAAACAAATATATATATATATATTTTTCCAGCTATGACTGTGTTAGGAAGGATGTGAAAACAGTATAGTTATACTTGTTTAGATTACTTTTCTACTACTTTTGTTTAAAAAATGCATTATTGTAATTAGTGCAATGATATACTGGATTGGCAAACCATTTCTCATACATCTATACTTTGGTAATGGTTATTATCTTTCTGATAAGCATTATGTTAGATTCTTTTATTTTGCACTTTCTATTTTAAGCAATTAAAATATTCCTACAACAGGACTTGACTTAAAGCATATACATGCATGTTGAAAAATAATTTTAAATTTAAGATGCCGTTTGGATTTTTCTAGTTAACACAATTTAATTATTACTATTTTTAAATTTTTTAACATTTTCCTTTTTTTTTTTGATGTGGTATTAATTAATCATATAATAATGGTGAAAAATTAAAATCATTTTTATGCCAATTCTATTAATGACATGTTATTATGCTTTTTTGCCTCACTTAAAGTTAGTTTCCAATTGGATGCTTCCTGATAATTCAGTCATGCGCAATTTTGTTATTTTTTTCTAAGCATCTCTTCAACTCTAGGTCATTGAGCCTGTCTACATTCAGTCCAAGCAGCTCCTATTCCATAAAGACAGAATGGCATCATAAGATTTTTTTTAATGGGCAAACATTAAGTTGCCTGAATTGTATATGATTTGATCACATATTACTGTAGGAGAAGAAAAGGCAGAGCATGGGTTTGGAGTCAAGAGAGAAATCAGTTTGGAGTTGTTAGATTACCATAAGCAATCCAAATTCAGCCTGCACTTACTGTTGACTCTTACCAAGAGCCACTTTAATGCTGACCATTAATTGACCAGATTAATGTCAGGTATGAAGAATCAGGACCACATGCTAAGTTCCAGTTTTAGAAGATTTATTGCTTGCACCTATTTATTTGTTAAACTTATTTGTTGCCTATCCCATTGTGGGGCTATTCTAGATGGCTTTCAACAGTAAAAAGGAAGAAATGGAAAGAGTGTAAACAGAACAGAAGTTCTTCTGCAAATACTCCATTTTGCCTTATAGATAATTCCAGTTTTACAACATTGTTTTCTGAACTCACGTCATGTACATCTGATCTTTCTATCAGGTCTTCTTCCTTCCTATCAAAGACAGCTTAGGCCAGTTTACATCACTCTTTCTTTTTTTGCACATTCACCATTGCTACATCAGTGGGGAAGCTGATTGTAACAGACTGAAATTCCAGTCTTATTAGCCTACTTCCCTGAAGACCATATAGTAAATATTATTTTCTTCAAACTTACTCTATTTGTTTGTTTGATTTATACTCTCTGTTCTCTCTCAATATGGAAAGCTCTTTGTATTTCAAGCCTGAACCAATTGATTCTGAATTTTAATTGAACAGGAAAAGAGAAATATGTTCCTCCATGCTGCTAGACCTGGATTCTAAAAGCTTGCAGCTGATATCTCATCCCTTCTTCTTTGTAGCAGTCCATTTGATAAGGTTCTCAGAATCCTGCTAATCCATTTGCAACTTAAATCACCTTATCTCACAGTGAAGTCATGTCTCTGGTGCAACTACTTTTGAAATGGGCCCTAATGTGAGCCAGATCTGTGTCAGATTTTTTTTCCCTATGTCCCAGTTTATTTTTTCCAACATTTTTCATCAGAGCATTAAAGAATCTTAAAGTCCCTCTACCCTGACTTGGCTTTTCTATCTCAGATAATGTTATTACTATAGTTTGTAATTTTTCCACCTTATTAAATTCAGATTATAATTTTTTGATTCACTTTTTACTTCTAGGCAGGGCTCACTAGTCTTTTCTCAACATTTTTTTATAGTTTAACCAATCTGTAATAAAAGCTTGTCATTGTTTTTTAGTAATTTCTTTAGGTGTCTCTCCCGTTCTTTTCCTGACTTTTGCAGAATAGGCCACAATCAAAACCATTCATTGTTGCATAGTACTGCATCAGATTATTTGGATAGTGGTTGATGCTTCTTGGCAATCCTTAGCTTTTGTTCTGTCTTAAGAGATCTATTCTGCCTGCAGACAAGCATATTGCCACATGTATCTCTACTAGTCAAATGCCCAAAGTAAGTTGGGCAAGATGAGCTTACAATAATTGTGGCTCTTTGGATGGTAATTTGTAGATTCACACAGCTTACCCTCTATTCCTTCTCCATGCTGTTTCAGACAATTGAGAGAAAAGAGGAAAAAGTGTTGACAGAAGTAATATTAGTATGTAATTTTCTCAATGCTTCTTTTAGTGTTATTTAAAAAAGACCAATGTTGATTACTTGGTCCCCATGGTAGGTGATGACTTGATAAGTGTCTATGGAGATTCTCAGACATCCAGGTCATAGTTGTCCCAAGGGTGCTTTTTAAAGAGGCAGCTGGACTTTCTGGTTTTTCTTTGTAGACATTTCACTTCTCATCCAAGAAGCTTCTTCAGCTCTTACTGGGATGGTGGGGAATGGAAGGATGTATAGTCCTCGCAGATGGTGGTTATTTGCATTCTTTTAGCAAGTTGTTAAGGCGACTTGGAGGTTTAGCTGTATTGTTAAGATCACCTGAGTAATGCAAATGGGTGTGGAGTCTTCTTGGAACTATTGAAAGGACTATGTGGTAAATTGGAAATAGATGATGTCATATTTCTCCTCCTCTGTTGAGAGAAAGCTGCTCAATTTTGACATAGATGGCCTCTTTGACCCCTCTTTCAAGCCAGTGGATACAGATTTCCACATGGCTCACTGCATTGTACTGCATACACCATGTTGCTCAGTTTGTGTTTGAGTGTTTTATTCTTGGGGTGGACAAGCTTCTGCCTTAGTGTATTCTTGAGTTTGAAGTGTGCATGTATGTTGTGTTGGCTGAAGTTCCTCATGAGTTCTTCCAATATTCTTTCAATGTATGGAATGGCAATGTTACTTCATTTATTGTTCTTTTCATTGTCTGTTAGGGAGGAGCCACATGTTCTTTTCATTGTCTGTTATGCTGTTACAAAATGGGAGTTATCAGAATCTTACTCCCCTGAGCTGAAGGCCTGCCAACCAGCAAAGTTGGGAAAGAAAAAGAACTAAAACACATCCAGGAAGCCCTCAGAATGTGTCGCTATTCCAAGTGGGCCTTCATCAAATCTCAAAAAAGGCAATACAGGGACTTCTCCCTAACAGACAGTGAAGAGAACAATAAACAAAGCAACATGTCATTCCATACATTGTAGGAATATCAGAAAAGCTCAGGAGGAACTTCAGCCAACACAACATAAGACACAAACTGAGCAATGTGGTATATGCAGTGCAGTTCAGTGAGCCTTGTGGAGATCTTTACATTGGGGAAACAAAACAACCACTTCATAAACGCATGGTACAATATAGGAGAACTCTAACCCATCAGGACTAGATTCAGCACTCTGTCTGCATTTAAAAGACAAGGGTCACTCTTTTGAAGACAGCAAAGTTCACATTTTGGACAGAGAAGACCGCTGGTTTGAAAAAGGGGTCAAAGAGGCCATCTATGTCAAAATTGAACAGCTTTCTCTCAACAGAGCAGGTGAGATACAACATCATCCATCTCCAGTTTGCAACACAGTCCTTTCAGCAATTCCAAAAAAGCTCCACACCTATTTGCACTACTCAGGTGATCCTGATGACACAGATAAATATCCAGGTGGCCTTAACAACTCGTAAAAAGAATGCAAGTTACCAACTGTCTATAAGGAGTATAAATCCTTCCATTTCCCACCAACCAGTCAGAGCTGAAGAAGCTTCTTGAATGAGAAGCGAAATGACTTCAAAGAAAAATCAGAAAGTGCATTTGCCTCTTGAAAAAGCACCTTTGCTGACTTGACAGTTTGAATAATTGTATCATGCTAAGGAAACCATGGCATGAATACCAGCAGGGTGCGCAATCACTTTCAGAGAAAGAGTGACATCTCAGTTCCCACTCTGAAAGTGCTTTGTCTGCTTCCTTTTGTTTCATTCCCTTTCTCACAAATTCAAAAAACTCACGAGTAATTTAAAAAACCCAAGTTAGCTTATACATAATATATGTGCAATTAAAAAATTATGATCCCATTGTCTTCTTAAAGGTAAGGTGTGATTGGGCCAGTTGATCCTTGGATGGCAAATATTCCACAAAATAGGGCAGCTATTGCAGGATAAGAATGCGACTTCATAACTATTTCTCATAGCCCAAATGTAAGGGAAGAAATGGGAGCATTCCTTTTTAATGTCACTGGGAGCAAATGGTCCCAAAAATCACCTTGACTTAAACCATATAGAACTTAATTAACAGCAGTTTGATCAAGAAACAAATGGGCAGATACTGCAGCACTGGTGTAGATTGGCTAAAGTGACTGTCCCTGAAGAGAGATGTAGGGGGTTCAACCCCCACATTTTCATCCTGACAAAGGTCAACTACTAGAGTGACCAATATCTGAAACTTGAAAAGATAAAAGTGGATCAAAATTCTTTGTTTAATCCAGAATTCCCTGTAATAGATACTCCAAGGATTCTTCAAAATTTCCCCCCAACTAGTTGTGGGATATCCAAAATGGCAGGTTCCAGTGATGACTTTTTCAGGATGCTATTCTTCAATCTGATAAAAACTTTGATTTCAGCTTTCACCCTGCAGACACAAGCCATCTTCATATGGTGGCTATACTTATCCAACTACATTTGTCATGCTAAAATTGCAACTCATATACCAGCTCTCAATATTTTTTCAAGTCCAATAAGCAAGAATGCACAAACTAAAAACAGGCAAGAGAAGTCTGATTCATGTTTTTCTTTTCACTTTCATCAGTATGTTACAATGTTGTTTTTCGTGGTGCTGATCAAAGATATATCCAGTGAGTTGTGGGATATTCAGGTGTTTGCTTGTGGGGGCAACAGAGCCCCATATTGATATTAAAAGTTGCACTAAATTTGGCATAGTACTGATGAAATATGTAACTCTTCAACTTATACAAATAGTTAATTGTAGTTTATATAGGACCAATGCACTCCTGTACAAGTGGAATAGCTTGAATTGTATGATTTTTTTTCTTTTTTTAAGTGTTGATTTAAAGCTTGCTTTCCAGATATTCACTTCTGCAGAGCTGAAATATGTGGCTTCATTTGTTAAACTAAGTTGCTGAAAAATGCCTTGGAAACGTTTTCTGTTTTTTCTTTCTTCTAAGTTTACTGTAGACAAACCCTTTGCGCTGTGTCATTGACTGGCAGTAGGTGTCACTTATGTTCTTTTTCTAACTATCAAAGGTGCAGGTGGTTAATAAGAAGCTGAACTTTAGCCATGTCCAATCCAGGTGTGGATCAAAGGATAATATCAAACATATTCCAGGAGGAGGCAGTGTGAGTACCTTCACACCATTCAATGCACTATAATAAAATAATTTATTATTAGTGGCATGAATTCTGCATTAATCCTAAAATGCCAATGCTGCTTGCTCAGCCAGCCAGCCGTTGGTAACACACTTAAATATAACATATATAAATTAACCTCCTACTAGGAAAGATATGGCTCGATTAGACCTCCAGCAGAATCTTGTGTACTAATGTATACAGGATTAATTGGCTAGTTTTCAAAATAATACTGTAAGGTTATTTTTAATTGCATGGCTTTCACGCTTCTGACAAATATGTTGTCCAGTTCACTTAGAGAAAGAGGAAGATGTTAATACAAGATAGAAATCTAGAAATTTGATGAACAATATGTGCTATTCTGGAAGCCTCATGAAAACATTGCACATACTTATGGTAAATCAGATGTTCTGCATCTGAAATATTTTTTTTCTTTTTTTAAAGGATAAGCATGTTCCCTAGCCCAGAATGTGAAAATTTGGCAATTAAGCAAATTATCATCTACAGGTTTTCTTTTACATGTTTGTTTTGTTTCTATAATTGGTGATTTTTAAAGCCTGTGGAAAGATCCAGTCTATTGATTCTATGGAATCAATAGACTGAATAGTTGGTAGATAAATAGTTGGATATGTGGCATATTGACCTCATCTCTGAAGTGTGGTGTTTTCAGTGTAGACATTCTTGTTCTCTGGGACAACATAACTTGTTAGGGGCTCAGGCGAGCCAATTAATTCCTCTTATCTCTTCCCATAATATCCCTTATTTAGCTATACCAAGTATCAAATTTCTAGAGACTTTTTAGTGGGGTAGTAGAGGAAAAATGTACCTTCTATCTGTCTGAAAAAAACATTCTTTACCAAGTGTCAGGATTTTTCTGGACCATGATAATAATTTTTCTCATTTCTAAATATGCTTGATTCATTTCTTAATTTATCTTCATAAGAAATGAATACAGGGATGGCATATGAATCTTATTGGCTAATTCAGAAAGAACTATCCAATATTGCATTTTGAGTCTTCACCAGATGCTAACAATTGTGTATTTCTTTACTTCTGCAAACAAAGGTGCTTCCAGATTAGGGAATTAATGGGGTTATTGCCATTGATAGAATTTATGGGGATTCAGGTATGAATTTATAGGTGTAGCTTTCTTAATGTTCCCACCATTTTTCTCTCACAAAGCCCCCTCTTCCCGTGTTTTTCAATTCTCAAGACATTAGTTGATAAATGTATTTTATTTGTTGCAATAAGCTTTGTCTAGAAGCACCTTAAGAATGCCAGGATTATTATTATTTTTACAAAATGCAGTGATCTTGAGTTACTCTGGGATTCTAAATTTAATCTTCCAACTCAAAGCTCATGGCCTTTGAAATACACATTAAATAGCATGTATTCTCAAAAAAACAATTTACTAATTAAACTTGCACAGTTTGCATTATTAGTTTGTTTGATAGTTTATCTTTTCTAGAACACTGTTTGCATGATGCTGGACTTGTGCAATGTTCTCTGTTTCACTGTTTATCAACTAACAGAATTGTGACATTTGTCTGCAGTGGAGAAAATGATCTTCATAGTTGGCATTTAAAAGATAGTCATTAAAAAAATTCAAAAAGGCAGCTCCGTATCCTCTGATTAGTGATAAGCTTTTGATGTATGTATTTCTCTAAATCAGAGTCTGAAAAGTATATAAGCAAAAGTGTACACTTTCTAAGAGGGATTTTGGTTAAGATTAAGTAGTTCATGAATGCTGTAAAAGTAGACTACATAAAGTAACAATGAACAAAGCATCTTTTTTATAGGTCCCATTTACTAATCTTTTTTACTCTAGCATAGTGATGTCTGCCTCATTTGTGTGCCAGACACAGCTCCAATTCATCCTTACCCACTATTTCTCTCATAGTGTTCTATTTTCTCAAACTAATTTTGTGACCTTTCTCCCATTATTGACAACTCCACATGTACGGTTACAATCATTATTTATGGGTATGGTTTTTAACATTTTTATCTTTCCTCATCTTTAATTCACTCTACAACTATAAAGGCTACTTCTGCTATAAGTGTAATAGTATGTAGTCAGTTGATTATATTATAAAAATAACTGAAACAATGCTGCCTTTGGTAACAAAAGCCACTAAGTACTATAAATATCATTCTAAAAGATTGCTTCTAAAAAGATACTCTTCTTTTCCATTATATGTAGCATTCCCTACAATGTCTAGAAATTTAGTGAAAGCTGTTTTGATTTTTAGAGTCTCCAAGGGGAATTAAATTGTGACAGTACTGTCATTCTCACAGCAACAATTTTGTAGCATACCAAGTTAAAAATGTGTGAATAATGACAACATTTTTCATTAGATCTCTCTAAGCATGTCTCTTAAATCAAATTTCATGAAGTTTTGAAGGAGGTTAATTTCTAAATTTTTGACATAGAACTTGTGGACAATGTGAAGCTCACAGACAATGATTATGAATTTGTTTCAGTTCTTCCTTGCCCTCTTCCTTCTTTATTCCCCTTTGTCTATCAGGTCAATGTGCATCACACACCCACACTTGATATATGTACTTTCTATCCTTGCTGTGTCCTTTTCGGTGATTTGTAACGTTTCAACAGAGAAGAGGAGAGAATGGCATTGATTTTGGATGAGGTAGACAGTCCATTTGGGGAGAAATAGCCAGGGAGATGCAAAGAAGTTCCTTGGGGAGTAGAATGGCTAGAGGGAGGCTTGAGAGGACGAGGTACCGGTACTAGGCATCAAATTTTATAGAAGAAAACACCTTTTATGATCTTAGGAGTTGTGCTGGCACAGTGGTTAGAATGCAGTACTGCAAGCTACTTCTGCTGACTATCGGCTGCCTGCAATTTGGCAGATTGAATCTTATCAGGCTCAAAGTTGACTCAGCCTTCCATCCTTCCAAGGTGGGTAAAATGAGGACCCAAATTGTTGGGGACAATATGCTGACTCTGTAAGCTGTTTACAGAGGGCTGTAAAAGCACTGTGAAGCAGCATATAAGTCTAAGTTCTATTGCTATTGCTACATATTTAATTGTACAGTGAAACCTCTGGTCACAAATGCTTCTGACTGTGACCAAATTGGGTTCCGACCAAAAAAATCCACAACATTTTTGAATTGGGTCATGATTCAAAAATCGGATGGTGAACAAACATGGCTGCAACCGATTCCCTTTCTATGTTGATTTTCCCTTCCATGCCATTTTTTTTTGTAGGCGCATGCGCAGACAATCTAGCTTCCGGTCATGACCAAATCGGGTTGCGATCGAAGTTATGGAACCAATTATGGTTGTGACCGGATTGGGTTTTGAAACAAAGCAGAGCAGGAAAGAAGCACAGCACAGTACAGGGGTTAAAAAAAAGGAGAAGACCAAATTGGCTGGCTCAGAATTCTGGGAGTTGAAGTCCACAAGAAATAAGGGGGCCAAAGTTTCCCATTTTTGATCTAAGGAAACATGCCATTTTGTCTTGAGATTTTTTTAAAAAACTTCCCCCTTTTTAATTGGCAAGCTATAGTTATTCAATGATAATTTTAAAAATAAAATTGACCTGGTTATTTTCTTTAATGTTTTTTTTTTTTAATGCTTGTGTGAAAAGTGAGTAGCAAAGGTACACCTTTTGTCTGATTTGAGGAAAGTTATGCTCTTAACACATCACTTCTCTTTGAGTAATGTTACGTAGATCTGACATGAAGAATACTTCTGAAGTGAGGTCAGTTACCTCACTTCAGAAGTTATATATAACAACAGGTAATTGATTCAGATCTCATTAGTTTTTTTGCATATGGGTGAATATGTTCAAATACATCCCATTAATATAAGACTCTGAAATGTTCCTCTAGCTGGTCTAGATGGTGTAGGCTGTCTAACTCAAGCCATCGTCCCTGAATGATTTCATCATAGGTAAAGAGTGATAAAATTATACTGGTCTGAATTATAAATACCTTTTTTTTTTCCTAATCCAAAAAAATGTTGGAAAGAAATTATGTAAAAGGGTCAAGACATTGTTTATCCATCTGTCTATAAGTGTGATAAAATGTCTGGAAATTGATTAGCACAGTAACAAAGGTGGTGGGAGAAGCTGGCAGAAGAAACACAACGTTTGAAAATAGTTTGGATCTAGCTTGGAGCTGCAGAGAAAAATATTCCAGAAAAAAAAAATCCCCAATGCACCCCTTTAGGAGAAAAAGGCCAGAGAAGAGTTGTAACTTGTAATCACGATTGCCTTGAGTGAGTTCCGCTATAGCGTAACGTAGCATCAATTTGCTCAGGACTGTGGTTGCTTCCTATGATGGGTTGTTCAGTTTCTAATGTTATAAGGGAATTGGTATCCTGGTACCTGCTCAGCTTTGGAGCAAAATGCACAGCAAAGATGGATTTGGTCCCCACCCTTTGGGACGATATTGTATGTCTTTTTTCCAGTTGTATGCCTTCCTGCAGTGTCATTTGTTGTAACCTAATAACTGCTAGTAAGTATTTTTGTTTATATTTGTGCCTTTTGTGCATGTCTTATTTCTCGATAACTTGACTCTACTGTGATTATAATACCACATTGTTCCAAATGCTTTTTCAGTTGCATTTTAAAAAGATCCTTTAAAAAATTAATTCTTCCCCTCCCCCTCAGCCTTTTCAATGCACATTGATTATTTCTGTTCTTTCAGTTTTGTGGACATAAACCTTAAGTTTTGCATCAAAAAAGGTATTTAGCTCAGTTTCTGTTGTGCTTTTAAATAATTTCTCTGTGATATAGTTTATTTGATTATACTTCTCTTTCCTTCTCTCCTCTCCACTTTCTACTTTCATCTAAGTATTCTCAGTTTCAAATCTCCATCTTATGGAGGTATAATAGTTTTTGCATGCTTGGAAATTCAGTGTGTATGCCACATAAGGGGTAATTTTGCAAGAATAGTGAGATCTTCAGGGATGAGTACAACAATTATTTTTAAAGTATGATTTTCTCTGTGAAATATTCTAAGTATATGGATACAGCATATACATGATTGAAATATTTGGACTCCTATGCTATTAAAAATAAAAAAATCTGGAGCAGCATGAATGTGAAAGGCAAAATAGAACGATGAGTTAATTCTAAAAACTAAGATAATTAATTTTTAGAATAGATAATTTATTTGAAAACATAGGATCAATTATTTTATGGGTATCTTTCTTTTATGATGGTTCTTACTTTCCCACAAATTTTTAAATGAATCTTGTTAAAATCAAAATGAATCTGTGCATGCTTGGGAGATAATTTGATAACACATCTTTTGGCTTCACAGTTTCTTGCAGAAAGCTTTTATTCAGTCTTTCTTGGTTAAATGATTCTTCCAACTGTATTTCTTTTCCAAACAAGTTCCAGTATTTTTTATGTCTCACTTTTCCAGCATATTTTGGGTAATTTTTTCTAATTTAAAATAAATTCCAATCCCATAGTGTATAGTTGTTGTTTTTTCATTTTCTTCTCACAGATACAAATTGTATACAAGCCAGTGGATCTTAGCCATGTAACGTCCAAATGTGGGTCTCTGGATAACATTCATCACAAACCAGGTGATATCTATGTATTTTATTTTTGAAGTATCTTTGTAAGACATTGTGTCGTTTGTCTTTGGCTAAATGCTAGTTTTATTTTTATTTTGCCTTTGAAAAATATGGAGATTATCTGACAAAGATAAAGGTAATTGCAAAAGATGTATTTAGAGAACAATTAATAATTACAATTGATAAATGAGATCAGAGAAATTATTCCTTCCATATGTTTATTCCTGCTATTGTTTAACTATGTGTCTACAAAATACTGGATGCTGTTATTTACAGAATTCCTATCAATTTATTACTTCAGAACATAAGAAAAAAACTATGTTTAATTAACTGTAAAATTAAATGAACAACAAATTCACCCAAGTGGTTTCAATAGGAATCACTCCAAATGTCTTCCTTTCAAGGGAAACATTTTGGGTGTGGTGGTATTGCAGAATGAAATCTGGAATTCCTTCCTTGAAATGCGCCAGACTTCTCTGCTGTAATTTAGAACATCAATTTCCAGACTTTTAATAGGGAATGCGATCTGCTCTGGGAATAAACCTTATCCAGTAGTTCTTTGAGTCTTACGTAAACCCTGCCTCCTTTTATTTTTTACTTATATAGGGGTCTAAAAAACAGGAAGCTAGAGAAAAGGGGCCGTGTAGAAAAAGTGTAGTTCATCAGTTTAGATTATTAAAAGTGCTGCACTGTATATGAAAGTCCTGCAAGTTTAGTAACATTTAATTTTAGAATTATTTACCCAAGCTGTAGCTATTACTAAGAAGGGTTTCTTGATTTGAAGCACAGATTCAATACACTCCAATTTGTTTGTCCTTTCTTTGTGCCTTCAGTAAAATACATTTCATTATTTTGAATTTAGAATGCATGTTGCAGCTAGGCTATTACTACAACTACTACTACTGTACTAAATGTAAATTTCGAGATCCAAATTTTCTTTGTAAATCATGTGAGACTTCCATAAATGAATTTGGATATTGGGGCAGAACTCATATATTCAGAGGCTTAAGCAGACAAGCACAACACCTTCTTGAGGGAAAGAAGCATGCACAGACATACACATAGAAAAGTATTTTATTCAGAAGTCATCATTATTTATATGTTCCTTTTGATATGTGTTTATCCTGCTCATTTTTCCTTAGGCGGTGGACTGGTAGAGGTGAAATCTGAGAAACTGGATTTCAAAGATAAAGTGCAATCAAAAATTGGGTCATTAGATAACATTACCCATATTCCTGGAGGAGGAAATAAGAAGGTAAAAAGATTTCTCTTGCTATTTTTTTAGTTGTGTGGATGATGGGGGCAGGTTTGTCTAGGAAGCTGTAGGGCAATAATTGCATTAAGCTTTGAGAAATAGTATCTTTATCAAATCTTCTAATTCTGGAATAATGATAATCTAAGACTTAACATAATTCTTACTAGGTCCCAATTTTCATAACACAATATCTATAAATATCCCCAGTGCCAACTGAAGCATATTAAGACATTGAGTAAACCAGCAGCTGTTCTTAATTGTAAAGAAGCAACTGAGAGCTAATAGATGCTATATACAAGCTCACATAAACTACTTAAATTGATTTCCCTTAAAAACTGGTGACCAAGAAGAAATAGACAAGGCACACATAAATTTTCCATTTGCATGGAATGCCTTTGCTAAAGAAGGTATCCCTCTTTCCATATATCTTTGGTACATTTTTCAACAAGCACCTTCAGATGTGTACAGACATACCTAAACCACAAAACTGCCACAGGGGAAGCATGCCCAGCACATTAATTGTTCCTTTATAAGAATGAGTACAGAAGCAACATGTTTGTGCAGTGAAGTTGGAGATGATGATTGATATTAATCAACTGTTAGTTTTTACTTTATGATCTCATCTTCTCACCACTTTTTCAAACCAGATTTTAGACAGTGTTTTGATACTCTTTTAAATACTTACGATATTTCTTATTAAACTGGCAGCAGGAAAATGTAAATATTTCTCTGGTAGTTTCATATTTGAAGTTATTTAGAGAGAATATGCTTATTTAGGAATGGTCTTGAACAATAACTATATTCTCTTAGAGGAGAGAATGTGAGAGAAAAGATCAGAGATAACTAATTCAATTCTGCAAGATTTTGAGGCATTTGGAACACTGATAAGGATTGATGAGTTTCTGTTTTGGATATCATCCTTTTGATAAATCTCGATATTCTTTAATTCTTACAAGGATTCTTCCATAGGACAAACTTTTTTACCTGCACAGAAAATATTATTACAATAGTGTGGATAAATCACAAAAGCACACCAGATCCAAGAAATATCGATGTCATGTTACTCTCGTCTTGACCGTTGGAAGTCTTGCCTTGTTTCTTGTCTTACTGAACATTGCTATATTAAAAGATTTTAGAGCAGGGCAGACCAAACTTACATTTTTAATCAGTGATCATATCCCACTGACAAAGCATTCTATATAAGGCCAATGCCAGGATAAAGATATGTATCACCGAGTTCCTAAACAAGCTTTTTTAATTCTTAGATTAAAAAAAAAATCTGCCAGCTCTGATACTTGCCAGAAGATTAAGAAAAATCAAATTCCCTTGGAAATTATTCTGATTTTTCTACACTGGCTATGCAAGCTCTTCTTCTCTCAACTATATTTTTTTTTTGGTTTGGCAGTCTGACCATCTCCTTTTTCATCAAGATCGACTGCTAAATTAGGAATTTCTCTTTTGTAGTACAAAAGAAGAAAACATTAGGATTATCAGAGAAATAAACATAACCTAACCCCTGCTTTTAAGTACACCTGTATATATGTCAAAAGAAATGCAACAGCAATTAATATTTCAGAAACAGCAGAAGGGAGGAGAAATATTTCTTGGCCCCATTGGATAATGAAGTCTGTAATGAACCTAAATGTTCTGATGATTTAATATGTTTTCATATATGAAGATACCATATGGTACCTTTGAAGATTATCTCAAATTTCACAAATCTCCTTTTTTTGTCTTTGAAAGATAACATTAAAAAATTCCTTTTGGTCATTACTTGCTCAAATAATTGCTTCTAGGTTGTTGAAAGGGTAAGCGTGCTATCTTCCACAGGGTATAAATATTGTCAATTGCTGTCATCTTCATAGGGAAACAAATAAAATGATGGAACACAGAGTCTTTCTGTAAGGACAGCTTTCAGGAAAGTTTAAGTCAGTGGAATGTGCTTAGAAGTTAATCACATACTTGTTTTAATAGGACTTTCAACCTGGTTCAGGCTGGTAGATAACCTGGGCTGGACAAGGATAAATTCAATAGAATTTGAGCACTCACAGTATTGCAGTTTGGTGATGAAACAAGGCAAAACGGAGCACTGTTAGTCAACTATGGCCAGGGCTTTGTTTTGTTCTGGATCACACTGTTCCTAAAAACCTGGAGCATCTTGTTGCCAAATACTGGTTCCCATAGCAAAAAGTTTACCCAAGAATGTTTTGGATTTCAGCTGTAAATATTCCCCAAAAGTCTATCTTTAAAATCTTGCTTAATCCAGTCCCTGATAACATTACATTACTGCAATGTGCTCCACTGAGGGTTGCTCTTCAGGAGTGGTACAAAAGGTAGTAATTTAGATTGCCAGTCAGGAGTCAATGTTGGAATATCTGCACTGATTATGGGTTGTATTAAAGATACTAGTTTTGTATTCCAAAGTTTGAGTTGGATTAATCTGGCTAGATTAAAGGTATATTTTGTTAAAAACTTGCCAGTTTAATGTAGTCCACAAAAAAGAGGCTGTTTGAGGACACTTCTGAACACAGGACATTACCTTTTGGTGCGTAAAAAAGCCTTATCCTGCATCAATTCCTTAACAGATGGTTCTCAAGGAAGACAACAAGGTGCATTATGGTAATTTTATTGTAAACTCTTACAACTGTTCATAAATTATATACTCAAAAATTACCTTTACAGCAGAAATAATAATTTGGTTTGCAAATAAAAATCCATTTGTATGTGAATGATTGTTGAACTAACTGATACTTTTGAGGAAATCTATAATAGTGAACATGTTTTGTAGGGTTTTGAGGTGAGTGAGCTGAAGGAAGATTATCCCAAGGATCAGTGTTTCTTCCCCCCACCCCTCCCCCAGCCAGTACATGAGTATGCATTTACAGGGGTGAAGTCACACAGGTTGAAGTTAAAATAGGTGAACAACACTTAAAAGTATAACATAACTAAACGTCTTTGGAGTTTCTTGGTCATTCAGGTGATGATTGTTCCAAAGATGCTTTTTCAAATGGCAATTGGACTTGGTTTTACCTTAAAGACTTTCAGAACTGAAGAAACTTCTTAGATGAGAAGTGAAATGTCTTCAAGATAAAACAGTCCAGTTTCCTTTTTAAAAAGCACATTTGGGATATTATAATAACAAATAATGTTTCTAGCACTTCGAACATTGATTCAAAAAACAATTAGCTTTGAAGTGAAAAGACAAAATTGTAAAAATAATGAACTCAGTTAAAAGTAGGTTGAGTCTGTTTACCAAACTTTGTAAACTGAAACAAGTCACGTGAATCTCCTTCTCACAGAAGGGTTATCAAGAGGAAAAATATCATTACATCAGAAACAGTGAGATGCTTACTTTTTTTCTGCCTGAGCAAGAATATTGTGAGTCACTAGCAGAATTATCTTACTTCGAGAATATATGCAAAGATGTATAGCAAAGTTGAATTTTTTTCTTCAAATAAAAACTTTGAGAGAAAAGAAATCAATTTGACAAGTAAAAGAAGGCAATACTGTATTGTGATGTTCCCAAATTTATTCATTATTGCAACCAACAATAATGAGACCATAGCACTTAACTGTTAAACAGATTGAAGTAATGGGAAAGAAAATTTCAAAAATTTTCAAAATTTTTTAAAACTGAGTGGTTAAGAGACTCCATTACTGAAGCAATATCAACTTTCTGATTTGTGTAAATTAAGATTTTCTGTGCTCACAAATGTAAAAACTGAAAAATTATAAGCAATTGAGAGAGAAATGAGAATATGTCTGGAATTACATTTGATAACAAAGAGCCATATAAACCTCATCAAGTCCAAGTATCCCACTAGGTGGCAAAAGACAAGTTAAATTTGGTAAGTTTTTGTTTGGTTGATTTATAGTAATTTCAAATTGGAAATATACTGCTAACAACCATATAATTATAATAATTAAGCAATTTTCAAGGCTACTGGGTTATTTTTGCAACTATTCTATTTCTGTAACAGTCTTCAGAAAATAAATATTTTCCTTGGGTTTTATTCAGCGATTCAACTTGTGCCTTCAGTATGCATTATTAAGACAAAGGTGTAGTAGAAAATGAAATATAGTGTCAACAGAATGCAATGTATGATTTTTAAGAGTACTATTAAGGGTGGGTGGTTAAGAAGCTTTGCTTATACTGCAGTAGCAGTGCGGAAAAGTGACATTATAGCTCTGTAATCTGGTCTATTCAAATAGTTAATGATGAGTTTCAAACAAATGTATAATACTTCATTTTTTTATTGATTGTGAATATTTTAAAACTGCTACACAATATCTTGGTATTATAGAAAATAGAGCAATAAAGAAATAAAAAAGTAAATAAAAAATCCTTTGGACCAGGATATTCATATGACTGAATCAACCTCCTGAGTCACCCCATTCCAGTTAGTTTTGTAAGTTGCTAGCCTAGGTATACCTTCAGCAACAGCTGCCAGTAGTTGTTATATTTCTCTTCGTGCAGTAAAAGGTTTAACCTCTTTTAAGTTTTGTATGTTGACCTGAGATTGAAATCACAAGCTATCTAAACCTAGTTATTTTTCTTGTAAATTGGTATCCCAGTTTAGATTGTTATATTCACAGTTTCAGGGCTGGCAATAAAAATGTAGCATGGTCTTTGAAGCAACAATCTGAGAGTGCTCCATTAACAGTTATTCTTTTGTTTGTATGTACCTCATCTGTTGTTCCTCTCTTGGGGAGGGAGGCTCCACTCACATGCATTTCAGTCCTTTCCACTCAGATGCATCTCATTTTAATAACTTTATAAAACTTTTATGTTTCTCATTAGCTCTTTCCAATGAGAATTCTGGCTTCTGATGGGAGGACTTTTCTGCTTCCTTATCCTTCTCTCACTGATATTGACAAAACCTTTGCATTTCTTCCTCCTCCTTCTTTTTGCATTGTTTCTTCCTTCTGAGCTTTTTGAATCACAGTTGGGTTAATTCGGCAGGTCAATAGATTGTGCTTGATTGTAGTTTTGGTCCCATACTTTAAGAACACATAGCACATAAGGAAAATAGCTGCACTTGGAGAAAGGATTGCCCATTCATAAAATGGCTGCCACAGTTTGTATCCAGTCACCAAATGGCAGTTAGCTAGAAACATTAGGTGACATTATTTCTGGCCTTACAGGTAATCCTTATTCAGCAACCATTCACACTTAAGATGGAACTGAACAAGTGGTAGTTAGAGATCCTTGCCTAATTATCACACACAATTTGCTTAACAAAGACAACTGGGACTGCCAAACCACTTTTTTTTTTCGTTTTTACTTATGACTGTGTCTGAGTTAATGATGGAGTTTCTGCTTCAAATTACTGGTGTTAAGCAGAGATTATCAGTTTCATTTAGCACCTGTTTTATCTCTTTTTCTGGGCAAATGAGAATGATTTAATGTAAATATAAGATTATATATTTCATCCCATCTCCAGATTTATTTTTAAGGGAAAATGAAACTTTGAAATGTGTCCACTGCTACATTCAGCATCTCCTTTTATGCCTATTGAATATCTATGGGAAGGAAAGAACATTAGTGGATTGAAAACAAATTACAAATCGATAGCGAGTACACCTTTCACATACTTTATCTTGTTAAGGGCAATGGTTCTCAACCTTTTCTTTACCACGAACCTGCTTTAAACACCTCCTGTAGTCATGGGCCATGGACAGAGACCCCCAAGACTTAAGATTTAAATCATAACATTTCTTCAAGCCTTCATAGGCCCCCTTGTGACAGCGTTGCAACCCTTCAGGGGTCTGCGGACTGCAGGTTGAGAACCAGTGGCATAGGGGATAAACTATAGAAAGAATTAGAAATAGAGTAGACCTACTGAAAGAGGGGCTTTATTATTAGCCACCATGACATCTGAATTAGGGGTAACTGAACTGGGTGACACCATCTGTTTTTCCAGTGTTGCAGTCAATGTAACTGTATGAAGAAAAGCTGGAGAGGGAGGGACTGAGGCCATAGATCTTTCCTTTATTGCTTGCTTCAAAGAGATATCGTTCAATTTTTTAAAGACAAATTAATGATCGTTTCTATAGGCTAGGCTGCAAAAAAAAAAAAAAGCTTGATCCTACTGGTCTATTGAGTCACTGCAGGTTAATAGTTCTTAATGAATTATCAGTGACAGCCATCCTTTCTAGGATTCAGAGCCTAGTCAGTGTTATGTGATTCTTCTTATTTAGCTCTTACATGCTTCATCTTCAGTTACTGTGACTTCTTCTTCATACTTCCTGCTGCTTTCTCTTCCTTCAGTTCCATATGTCCCTTCCTCCCCATTGATAAGTTTTGGTTTCATTGTCATCTTATTTGATGATGCTATTTTGCATCCCACTGACCTTCTCCACCCACATGCAGAGAGAGAAGGGCAAGGAAGACAAGAACCGTGTACAAAACTGCCCCAATAAGGCTGGGCTTCCTTCCCCCATCACGGAGCCCTCCATCCCTGAGGAGAGCCCACTCCCCGACTTGCACCCATGTGATGTCAGTAAGTAGTTACCTGTTGTCATAAGCTTTTGAGAGCAAGAAGGGAAATAGATGCCCAAAGCTGGCTGGGTGGCTGGGATAATTTAATTCCTATTTTTTGTTTTTGTTTTTTGGAAAAAAGTCAGTATTAAATGAGTGTTGAGGAATGTTGGTGTTAGGCTCCCCAATGTGATAAAAAGAGGGATTCTGCACCTCTTAATGTTGGGTTGGATGAATAGATAGGTGTGTGCAACTGGGGTGGCAGAGGCAGATTGCCCTATTTGAAGAAGGCAGGTTGTGCTTGTGGAAGGAGACTTTGCCTAATTTTTTAGGGTTTTTCCCCTCAGTTTCTCTTGTGCTACAATCAATCCTCACCACCACCACCCCTCACATTCATCTGCAAAGTATTTTAAGGAGTCTTTGTGTATCTAAATTTTGAATCCAATCTATCATAGAGAGTTCAGATGAGCATAATATTTCCTGTGAAATATTTCATTGGGTCTGGAAAGCTGTTTTTTTTAAAAGTTACTATTTTTGCACAAAGGCTTTTATCTTACATCCTATATCTGGGTAATTTGTAGCATGAACTTTATATAGTAGTCGTGTCAGGATATGCTGGTCGAGTAACCATAAACAAAGCTTTATGATTGGCAAGAAGGATCCCACACTTTCCTCTTAGAATCACGCATTAAAATATGAGAATATTTCCATGTGGTGAACTATTTTGGTTCTACCAACATATGACTGCAGTGGGGAAGGTTTTAATTCCCTGGCTCATTGTGTCCTTGCCATTCCACCTTGTCTCATTTCAGATTGAGAGCCACAAGTTGACCTTTCGTGAGAACGCCAAAGCCAAGACTGATCATGGAGCTGAAATTGTCTACAAATCACCCACTGTTTCTGGAGATGCTTCTCCACGTCGTCTTAGCAATGTCTCTTCGACTGGAAGCATCAACATGGTGGACTCCCCTCAACTGGCCACATTGGCCGATGAAGTTTCTGCTTCTCTGGCCAAGCAAGGCTTGTGATTGTATTGTAGTAGTTGGAGATAATAAGAGAAAAATTAACTCTGGCCTTTTTTTCTGTTTTTTTCCCCGCCCCCCATCTACATCCCTCATCATTCCTATTTATTTTAAATTAATATCAATGCTAATCTGTTCCCTCTCCTTCCTTTAGTTAAACAGTCATCTGTGGTCTCAGGATTTCATAATAGTTAACAACTTGGAAGCAAAGATTTCCATCCTATATGGAATAAGCTGTTTAAAAAGTCTCCCATCACTTCACCTCACCTCAAACAAAAAGAAATGAAATTGAATACACATAAATTTGTGATGTTTGAAATCTCACTTAGGGATGTAAAATGAGATCTTCTGCTGTACATGCTCATTATTGGCCAAGTTTTTTCCATTGAAATTTAAGGCATAGAAGCCTTGTGACCACCTTAACAATCATGGCTGCTGATTTAGTATAAAAGTTAACGCAGCTCCAGAGATTTACAGTGTACAAGCAGACCTTCTACTTCAAATGTCTCTCCTGCTAGAGCTGGAATGCTAGGCTTTAATATTTGAAGTATATTTCTTCCTTTGAAGGAGGAATTTTGATATAGGAAAGAGAACTTTTGAAAGGACTGTTATGTTACATATGCATCCATTCTTTTTTGGTACTGAAAATTTTTGTGAACCAGGTTTAAGTTCAAGATAAAACTGCATGCTTTGGATAATTAAGACATAAGCCAAAACTGCCTTGAAAGCCTGCAGAATGCCAGTTCTCTTTAATTGAAATAATGTATTTTAAAGGCGATAGCTTATGTTTTTTGTTTGTACCTAAAATTAACCTTTGACTTTAGACTGTATAGTCATACCTACTAAAACAATCCGACTTAATTTCTTATATGCTAAGTTCTTTTAATTTAATGGATCAGTTACGTTTCTCTTTTACAAATAGTAACTATTGCCTCTCTTTTACCCATCTCACCATCAATCTCCATGATTTTGTCACACCATAAAAATTTTGTCCAGAGTTGCTGGGGAAGAAGCAAATTTGCCTTTGTGTTCAGCCCAATTGGCCTGGTTGTTCCAATGTTTTTTGTAAATGTAGAAATTTGTGAGATAGAGGTATGGCTCTAGGCATATTTAAAAATAAAGGAATTGATGTACTTATTTATGGTGCATGCAGGTGTTTTTTAGGAAGGACAATTGCGTGAAAGAACACCAGTTCAGCAGACGTGGGAACGTGTATTTTGACCTATATCTCATACATACTTTAGAGTACATGTTTATGTAATATTTGTGTATTTGAAAGAAGCATCACACATCAGAAATTATAGCCAGAAGCAAGTACACTCCTTTCAATAGTTACTATTCAGTTACTAGTTGTGCATTATTCAGGAGAATCTTTAGCACGTCAGAAGTTGCAGAATTACGATTTGCACTCAACCATATGAGTCTAATCATCAAGCTATTAGGGATGCTGGGAGTTGTAATTCAGGAACAGCAGAATTGTCATAAGAACGAACTGTAAGAATGAGGGATGTTAAGCTCACTCACTGCAATGCAGCAAGCACTGCTAAAAAAGATATTTGATTTCTGAAGATCTGTGGACTTTAATGATCCACTGTGAAGAAACATAATTTTCATGAGGCAAGTTGCATGAAAGCACCAATTTCACAAGCTTTAACCGCACATGCTGCTTGCTGTCCGCAGAAATTTTTCTATGCTAAGGGGATATATTTGATGTTCCACAAAAATATTACTGGATTACAACCCCCATCTTCTTGTATTACCTGTCATAGTGGCTTTGAGTAAATTTAGAGTCTGACAATATTTAGAACCTAATGATTTTCTCCAGTAAGTGTACTGTAAATGAAAAGGCTGTTCTCTTTCATCTTCCATTTTTAAATTTCAAAACAAGAATATTCCTCCAAGCATCTATGTTATATGAAATATATTTGCAAAGGGAAACAAATTAGACTAAGTAGAAATTGTGAGTAACTGGTTTATCCCTTTCTACCAGATTTAGCCACTTGAAATTCAGACATTTTTTTTAGAATGATTTGATGGAAATTTCAAAGGAACATAAAAATAAGGAATCTTATAGGCAGAGTAGAACAAGAAAGACTGTTGGATCAATTATAGTGGAGTGCTTTAAGAGTACCCAAGAACATCTAGTTGATTTTACAGATACATCATTCTTTCCACAATAACTGGAGCTTGCAGTATGTACAATCATTATGGTGTTCATCGCTATTGAATTGTTTTCTTGGTTGCTCTTCTACACTCAGCAATGAGAGAAAACTTCCTTGGTTATCATCCCTTTCCAACCTAATTCATGGTATCCCTTTGGACTGTTAATAAAAATGCCAGCTTTGTATCCTTTCTAGGTTGAGCCAACAGTCATAAAGAGATTGATTTTCCTCTGCATGCTGTAGTTTCATGCATGTGATCAAAGATAACTCTGGTCTGCATGTGTTTGGTTGACAGCAAAAAATTGAAAATGATCAAAGCTGAAAGGGCTTTTAAGAAAACTGGTTTGCTCTGGAAGCAATCTTTTTAAATGTTAATCTGATTTCAAGTCTCTAATTTTGAAATTACCAAAATCAGGATGCCTTAGTAGGTAACAGATAGAGCATCCATGGTAAAAAGAAACATTTTTGTTTCAAAGCCAATTAAAAAAGCCCCGGCTATTATCATTTGCTTTATGATCCTTAATACCTATCATATTCTGGGGGAGGGGGAATGGTTACAGGAGCAGCACCAGGTTGAACAAATCACACAAGTTGACAATTCTTGATCAGCAGCATTGCTCTTTTGATTTGCTGTAAAACATGTTCATTTGTGGTACCGCCATCTTTTTTCAGTACCAAGATAAAGGTCAAGGGGTCACTTGCTCCATCAGTTCAAAGGAAGGCTGCAGTCTCCTCTTTTTTATATGCTAATCAATCATCTGGATCATGTGAAGAAAGTTTTGACAAGCAGAACTTATGGGATATGAAGGGGAGAATGGTTGGACAGAGTAATGGATAGCTTCTAATGCTAAGGAGGTATTTTACTCCAAGATAGCGCTCAAGTGGAAGATTTTGCAGAGGATTCATCTGTACATCAGCAGTCACTTTCCAGTCATTTATAAGCCTGTTGTTACCTCTGTAGTTAAGTTAGGATGGTAGGTTTATTCTTTTTTAAATCTAAAAATAATTGAATAGGAAAATCCTTTCACTGCGAAGCTATACACTATGCCATTGTGATTTCTTTTTGCTTGTTTTTTCAGGACTTTGGGCTGGAAAACCTTACACTATCCTTAGCAGCTACTGTAGTAGCATAAGCCTAAAAAAACACCCCCACATTTCTTCAGCATTGAACAGTGAAGAGCAATCATAGACTACTTCTAGAAAGAGTATTGGTCCTCAAGTCCTTTTTCAGAAAATTATGCCTCAACTCCATTCACATTTTTACTAGTGCTTATATCCTCCTCTTTCCCAAGCATTGCACATATTTAAGTGTTTTGAATTCTTTCACCTACCCTCTTAGCTATAGCCATTTCCTTTGATCATAGGTCCCATTTCCCAACTGTATTTTGATTGATTTTGTGTCCTTCTAGGATTCAGACGTTTCCCCCCCCCAGATGGCGAAGACCCATGGTGGTTCCAGACCAAAGCCATCTTAAACTGACTGGCTTATATCTTGTCTTGGTATATATACATATCTAGGGTTTAAACGTGTTAAAAAACATGACATTGATTTTGAAGTTCACAAAATGGGGCTTTATTACATAAATTTGCAAGTATAAAAAAGGGACAATGACGTTTGGAAAAAAAACCATCATTCCCTTTTAAGTTTTTCAGAGATGGGGAAACCGGGAGGGGGTGGGAAGGGCATGAGATCTCCGTATGGTCATCCTAGCTTAGCTACTTGTCTGTAACTGTCCATGTTGTATTTGTGTGTTTTAACAACTGGTTTACATTGACTGTTGCTGTAAAAGTGAATTTGGAAATAAAAATTCATTACTACAATATTAAATGTATTGTCTTTGTTGAAGAAAACTTCCCAGACAGAAGCAAGGGCAAATGTCTTCCAAACTGCCATTAAAAAAAGTTTGCAGGCTCAATGTAATTATCAGAATTAAGCCTGAACGTTTTTATTGAAAAGATGGGATGATGCTCACACCAGGCTGATTAAGGCAACTGTGATTGTCTTTGCACCTTCCATCTCTTGCAGCATTAACTTTCCCATTCCATAAATGGCATTCTCTTTTATTCAACAGCTTTGCCTATCATAAAAAGTAAAATTCTCAAAATCTTGGCTAAATCACCTGTCTGAAAAAGATACTATTTCTTTCAAATAGCCTCAATAGTTCATAAAAATCAATTTAAAGATTTTACAATCCAAAAATGAAAACCACTCTGTTCTCTGTTGAAATAGTTTCCGTAATTCTCTAAATGCCTTATTCCCCATATTATTCCCCAATAAATTATAGCACTTTCCTTAACTTTTAAATTTTTTTAATTTTTTTTTATAAGCACACATTGGTGCTTTGGCCAACAGAATCAAGACATTAAACAAAGATCAGCTTCTCTGAAGAAAAGCATTTCTATATAACAAGGACATTACACAGCTTGAAGCAGGAAAAGAAATATTTACAAAATACAAGGTGGGTTTTATTTTTCTTTTTTGTAGATTTTTTTTTCCTTTTTAACGCTAAGATGGTTCTTCAGAATTTTCAACTTTATAAATAGAAAAAGCACTTAATGCAGAGGGATATAGTAGCATTGGGTTTTTCCTTTAAAAAAAAAAACTAGAACAGAACCAAAAACTTTAGGCAATGTTGAAAATTGTGAAAAAACCCCAACCATTAAGCAGTTTAGCTACTATTTTATTACGGTTACAAAATGAGAAAAAAGTTTTTCCTTTTTTGGTGATGTGATTAATACAGAAGACAGGTGCAATGCTAAACAACAGGACAGGGACCAACAGCCACACCGCTAAGGTCAGGAAAACATTACAATGAATTGGTGTGCAAAATATGGGAGTGATCAGGGATGTGAAATGAGGACAGTAGCTTTAAATTAAATAAAAATAAATTCAGATCTGTTCAACTTGACAAAAATCAGCCCAAGCCATTTTTAGGGCGGGCAGAGGCGGGGGAAGACTTAATATTTATTTCTCTCTCAAAACTGCTCTTTAAATTAAAAAAAAACAACAACAACCCAGATCTGTTCAGCTTGGCAAGTCCGTCCAAGCTAGTTCAAAGGAAAAAAAGAAAAGAAAACTTGAAATTCAGTTTTCTCTCAAAACTGCTCTTTAACTTAAAAAAAAAAAAATCAGATCTGTTCATCATGGCAAAAGTCAACCCAAGC